GCTACAGACATCGCATCATTGAGCACATCTGTGCCCACTGCTAAGCAACACTCACTTTGTCCGACAAGAAAAACATTCTCCGCCCTATGGCAGTCATATTTTCTTTCTCTCTCCACCAAAGCCAGGTGTCTGCTGAGAATTTATCTTCAGTAAACAACAATTTTGTCTCTTGCATTTATAGACGAGTCGGACCATTTCCTTTTACACAGTGCTTTAGTGCTTTTTCAGTTTCAACATATTGCATAACCATCCATCTTGGGAGGGAAATAAATCTGCCTTATATAACATTTGAAGAAGTACGTGGACATGAACTGCAGCAAACAGAATTAAAATAGGCAGGATATTTATAAAATCAGCTATGGTCCTTAATTTGTAAATAAGAAATAATCCACATGCTATTGTCTTAATGAAGAAAGGGTAATGAAGGCTCAATGTGCCTGTACTGACTTCTCCATGTCAACAGCTGCTACAGGCAGATGTGCTTGAAGAGGCTCCTTGTAGTTACTACCTCACTTTCTGCTTCTAGTAAGGACACATATATGCACACACACTTAAAAAAAGAAAAAACTATTCCCTTGTAGCAGTTCCTAGCTTTTCCTTGCTACAGTAAAGAAAGATATTACTGCACCTAGCTATGTATTGTTATGAGTTGTGGGGTAGGAGGTATCGCCAAGACCCTCCTAACACCTTGGCTCCTTTCTCAGTATTGGAACAGCCAGGACAGCTTCCTGGTGAGGTAACTGGTCATTAAGGGAACAAAGGAATGGGCTGTGTGCAAGATGACAAATGGGTGCAGCCGCCTCACCCAACTCATGGGTAGTTGGAAAGACAAAGCCAGAGTTGAAAGCAGAGAGTTGGAGTAATGTGAGCTAGAAGCAGAGCAGCAAGCTGGGAACTGAGAGAGACAGAGCAATGTTTGATTTCTGTTTGAATCCAAGGCTGCAGCTATGGGGGGGAAGCAAAGTCCTCTTGTGGTGTTAATGCTGTGAACCCCTCCATCATAGGCTCAGGTATATATGTGTGTGTTTTCTTGATTTGATTGTTTTATCTTTTTGTAAGCCATGTGGAGTTGTTGTTGTTGTTGTTGTTTGTTTTGTTTTGTTTTGTTTTTTTACAATCAGGCAGTATATAAATTTTATGAAATAATAAATAAGATGACTGAGCCCTTTTGTAGCAAGCAGCACCGGGTACAGCCTGATTATTAACATCACCTGTGCTTCAAGTTGACTTAAAGGGGGCCAGTCTTCTCCAGTAATCTGCTTCTGCAATTGTGGGTAGGGCCATAGGCTGGGTGGCAGCTGCACCCCCCCCCAAGTAAATAAATAAAAATACTTAACTAAAAGTAGAAATTGCGGAAAGATTTTGACAGATTTTTCCCAAGCACTTGGAGTCAAAAGAAAGTAATTCTAAACAACTGTTGTTGAGACATTTCATTCCAAAATCTGCTAGACAGAGCCAAACAGAGGATGATGACAGTTGGGTGTCCTAACCCCCTCCCCAACATAAATCCTGGCTACACCCATGGGGTAGGGCACTGGTCCTGGAGGTTCATCTGATAAGAGTGCTTCTGGGGCTGTTCCTATGTTCCCTGCCCCTTCACGTTCCAAATTCTTACCCCCATCAGGCAGTGATCTGACTTCTGGTCCCTGACACTAGCAAGCTCTCCATTTAAACTTGGATCAGCTCCTCTGAAGTTTGTAACGGAACCCGGAGCGTGGCCAATGCACTGACATTTATTTATTTTTTGACATTTTTCTTTCAGCTTATTAAAACGAACCCATTTCTTTCTGCACCCCGATGCTCATTCCTTTTGCCGCAGAAATTCTGGACCTACATCTGTCCAGATTTATGTCCCCACCACCACCACCACCTCCAATATGTCTTTCGTTAATCAAATGCAAATTTGCGGAGCTGGTGATTTAGAATGCAACTGCTAGGGGATGGCAATGGGGAAATAAATATCGTTTAGCAAAATAAATTTGAAAAAGCAGTGTAGCATTTTGTTCGGCCATTTGTGAAATAGTTTTTCTTTGTCACCAAAGATGTGAAGGATGCAGGGGGAGATGGGGGTGGCTGGTCACAGTGCAGAACTTGCTGGTAAATGAGATGTGTGTTTCTGGCAGGGGGAGAGTTTGGGACCTGGTGAAATGCTGTGTTGGCTGCAGTGTGTAGGTGTGTTGTGCAAACACTCCCTGCGCTCCTCCCTAGGCTGGAAGGGGGCTAGTTTAACCTCCGGTTTGCTGCTAAAACTGAATGATGCATGTCGAAAAAGAGTGTCACCAACATGAAAAGTTTGGAAAGCTGTGGGTTAAGGCTGATTTCTGCTGCTTCCATGAACTCATTATTGTTGTGAGATTCGGTAGGTGAACTGAGAGTTTGTATGGACCCTGAGTAGGAAACTAGAGGCTGAGGGGGAGTGTGTGTCAGAAGGAAAATGAATTGACATTGATTTATAAATATTAGTACCTTTGTATTAGTGTAACAGGGGACGCGGGTGGCGCTGTGGGTTAAAGCCTCAGCTCCTAGGACTTGCCGATTGAAAGGTCGGTGGTTCGAATCCCCGCGGCGGGGTGCGCTCCCGTTGCTCGGTCCCAGCGCCTGCCAACCTAGCAGTTCGAAAGCACCCCCGGGTGCAAGTAGATAAATAGGGACCGCTTACTAGCGGGAAGGTAAACAGCGTTCCGTGTGCTGCGCTGGCTCGCCAGATGCAGCTTGTCACGCTGGCCACGTGACCCGGAAGTGTCTGCGGACAGCGCTGGCCCCCGGCCTCTTGAGTGAGATGGGCGCACAACCCTAGAGTCTGTCAAGACTGGCCCGTAAATACCTTTACCTATTAGTGTAACATGTTTATATGTAACTGTGTGTCTTTATAATATTTTGTTTAAGTTGCTTGCTGTTGCTTCACTTTTTGTAAACTGCTTAAAGACATTTTAAATATATTAAGAGGCATTGAAATTACACAAGTTGTTGTTGTTATTTCTAACTCAGGTGGGCCTGACAGATCCTGGTGGATCAGAAATGGGTTGTATCCACAGTTAGTCAGGAAATACTACAAGTTATTGTTATGCACGGACTCTCTTTAGATGCTTTGAAATGTCCTCTTTCTGTATGAAATTATTTTTCAAAATGATTTTTTTCAGCTGATCATACTTCTGCTTGCCTGTCAAAATGTGCCCATTGATGTGCCAAATTACCCATTCAGACTCCTCACCCTTACTATGTAACCAGCATTACAAATGTTAAATAAAAAAAAAGTTAAACAGAAAAAGAAAGCTTTTGCAGCTCTGCGATTCCACATTGTGCTCTGCTGTAGCTGAAGGGTGCTACTGCCATGTTCAGGGCTGTCTTACCCATACGTGCTAGGGGTGTGGGGCACCCAGGCGTCGGGCTCTCAAGGGCACCAGGCCGAGAGTCTGGGGCCCGAGAGTTGAGTCCAGGGAAGAGCCTGTCCATCAGTCGGAGCACCACAGAGGTCTCTTCTGCTGTGGGCAGCTCTGTGTTGCAAGTTCAGGGGTGACCAAGCCAGCGAGACGCTGAGGCAGCAGGCCGGCTCCGCTCTCCTCTGCGCCTGGGACTGGGCAACCTGGGGGGGGGGGCGCCGGGTGGATCTTTGCACCCCAGCACCGCATATGCTTAAGACAGCCCTGGCCATGTTCTGTATGAAGAGCAAGTCTGTCCAAGAAGGGGGAAATGTGCCTGAGGATTTACTCCACTAATAACTTGTTTGCCCAATTTATGAGGACTTGTTCAAAGATTTAAATCACTCAGCTGACAGATCGATTGAACACTTGATTAACTTCTTATTAGGAGACAGTTTCCCCTTACATTTCTGAAATGGTGACCTGTTTTGCCTTTAGAGCAGACATTTGAAGGATACAATTTCAGCATACACTCTGCCACTGTTCTGAGTGCCAGTTTGAAAGGTCTGTGGGGCTGCATTTGGTCCTCCTGACTTCCCACAGTTGGCAAGAGCATGAAAGGATGTATCCCGAGATGCTGCAGTTATGTGCCCACAACCTGTTCCGCAGAACACAACCAGGAAACGTTGTGTGGAGTGTGGATTGGAACCCAGCTTGCAAAAGACTATCCCTCTTAACTACCATCGTCACACTGGCTCTCATTTCATATTCTGTGAGACAGGGCTAGGGAACACTTTTCAGCTCCTGGGAGCCACTTGCCACCACTAGCCAAGGGTGAAAGCAGGCAAAGCAATGAGTTTTTCCTTTGTAGACCAGGTTAGTTCCTACACACATTCAGAAACCCCTCTCTATCCTCCATCCAGACAAGATTTACAGGCAACCTCCATTTTAGGCACAACCGATATGTGTGCACACAGGACCAAACCCAGAAGTGACCCGGAAATGTCATAAAAGACATCACTCAAAGGGGTGGGGACAGAGCTTTCAATTGCATGCGATTTCACGCAAGCGCACTATGACCCAGAACACAAACCCTCCCCCACGCAGGGGCTTCTCGGTGGTGGCACCCGCCATGAGGACTGCCCTCCCACCAGATGTCAAGGAAATAAACAACTATCTGACTCTTAGAAGACACCTGAAGGCAGCCCTGTTTAGGGAAGTTTTTAATGTTTGATGTTTTATTCTGTTTTTAATCTGTTGGGAGCCACCCAGAGTGGCTGGGGAAACCCAGCTGGATGGGCAGTGTATAAATATATTATTATTATTATTATTATTATTATTATTATTATTATTATCATCATCATCATCATCATCAGGCTTGCCTGTATTATCAGAGTTCAACTGCACAATCCAGCCAGGCAAAATCACTTGAGGTGCAAAGGAGAACCAATGAGGCATGTATTCTGGTGAGAAGGGATATTGGTGGGAATCAGATATGAACTGGGGTGGTTGCCAAGGGCCTGGAGCCCCACATTTGAAACCCTGGCTGAGATTCCACTGCCTTCACCACGCCGCTTCGCCAGCTCCCGTCTTGCCGCCTTAGTTCATTCCTCCCTCCCTTTGTTCTTTGCATCGCCACAGGTCTGGCAGTGTGGCGGAAGCATGGAGGTGCTGCCTTGCTCCAGAGTCGCCCACATCGAGCGCACCAAGAAACCTTACAACAACGACATTGACTACTATGCAAAGCGCAACGCACTGCGTGCTGCTGAAGTCTGGATGGACGACTTCAAGTCGCATGTTTACATGGCATGGAACATACCAATGACGGTAAGGGCAGGCTGAGAAGGCTCTCAAAGAGACATTGCAGAGTTGTTGACGGTTGCTGGTACACACACACACACACACACACACACACACATATCCTGGAAGTTGCAGTTTGATGAGAGACCTGAGAATATTCAGTCTTCTCTGCATAACATCCTTGCATCTGTTGCCCTTTAATTGCCATAGCCGCTGCCCCCTTGTTGAGGATCACTTGGGCCATGTTGAACTAGAACTAGCTCCTTTTAAACATGAACTTTCCAAGCTCTGGTTCCCACGTTGCTGGACTGCAGCCTCCCTGATCATTGGCCTTGCTGGCTGGGGCTAATTGATGTACGGTCCAAGGAAACCTGCAGCAGTGTGGAACATTTGGTGTATCTGGCGTGTCAGGTAAAATGTGAAGCGGCTCTTATGCAGTGGTGAAGAAAAGGAACTCTGCACATGCTCAGAATGCCATCCCCCCATATAGGGTGTGATGATTTACCATACCCTCCTTCCCCGGGAGAAGAGGAGAGATGGTTTAGCCAGAATGCGGTTGAGCATGTGGGCAGTTTTGCCCAATAGGCAGAGACTGAAGCTAGCTAAGCCCCACACTCTTCCCTCTTCTTCTGTTGGCACCCACCACCCTTCCCTTTGCAGTGTGGGCATGGCTAGTGGCCCTTTCTTTGGGGACTGAGTAGGAGTCTTTGAGGGAGTCATTGGTTGGCTCTGGGTCTCCTCTTTTTTGTCTTCTCCACACTGTTGGGCGTCCCCTGTGTGACCGGAGGGCCATTGGGTGGCGAGTCCCCCCCCCCAGTGGAAATAATTACACAACGCAGGTTAATGGGCTAAATAAGTCCACAACTTTATTGGTTACAGATGATGAGCAGTATTGGCTTAGGCATTGGTTCTAACAGACTATATCCAACTTCAGCCCATCTGCTTGAAGTCCGGGAAGGGTTAACCACCAGTAGGGGGAGTCCTGCTGATGCACAACAACTAGGAACTCCCCCGGGGTCACCGATAGGGGGCGTGCCTTAGGCCCTCACCTCCCTAGGCTTCAGACAGGGCCACGCGCCCCCGGAATCCTTTATCAGACTACCCTTTAATATGCAGGGCAGGTGATGGCGCTACCTCCCCTCTTCCATCCACAGAACAATACCAATTCCTAACTGCCAATACCAAGAAAGTTGTGACAATTTGCTACGAGGTAGGCAAAAACCAAGTGGCTGGTGCCAATTTGCCAAGTGGAAAAATTCCTACCAGGCCCCTCAACGGCAACCAACCAAGGTCCATAGCAAGGTCAAGGAAACGAAAACCTTATAGGGCGGGAGGGTGGGAAAGCAGGAAGACCTGGCAGGCGTGGAAAGAGGGAGATCCCCGGCCGCGTCCTGCCTTAAATTGGGCAGGCCACGCCCCCAGATCCAGCTGATTGGCTGGCCAGGGGACGACGTGGCCAGGAATCCCCCCAATCACACAGGGCCGCTGCGTGCATGGTGGGGCCGTGGGGCCCGCAACTCCACCTCCTCGGAAGGGCGGAAGTGGCTTTCCTTAATCTGGCTCAATTGACATTTTGTCCAGGCAGGTGAACAGGTTTAAGTAAGGCCTGTGTTAATATATGAGGCAATTTGGGTTGGGTTGGCCATGCACATTGGGGTGAAGGTTGGGCAATGGAGCCACACTGTGCATGTCTGAGTCATACCAATGGCAGGAATCTAAACAATCTTGCTATTTACAGTGTGTGTCTGTAAACTTGCCCAGTAGATGGGACAGATTGAATTCCTATTCCCTTTATTGCTATTCCCCTGCCCAGGTGTGTATTATTTGGTTAATTTGTCAATCCCCATGTCTGATATCTTTTAATAAATATAATCGGTTTACCCATAACATTTTTTTATCGTGAGTCTTCTTTCTCTTGTGATGGCAATATCATTTTCCCTCCGTTGTCCTGCCTGATTCAGCATACAGGTGCCAAGGCAAGGTTTGCACCAAAACGAGGCTTGAGATGTTTACAAATGGCCCTTGCGGCAAGCACTTAAGTGTGATGAAAACCTTCGGTCTTTTCTTCTCTTCCATTACTTTCATATGATCATTTTCTCCAATGAGCTATAAAGCAGGCCTTTAGGGAAAGAAAAATAAAGGCACATTGCTTTATCAGACATAAACCAGCCTTCCAGAAAAGAAAATGGTTTTTAAACATCACAAAAATAACCACCATTTCCTTTCCTTTGGAACACAACTGCTTTGCAACGGTGGATTCACAGTGGCTTTTAAATTGTCTATTGATCCGTCTATCACTCCCTCTAATATTGAATTCAGGTGCTGAGCGCTGACAAAAAATAGCCAAAATGGGGGCAGTGAAAAACAAGTGGCAGGTTCTGTATCCGCGTACTTGAGGGACCCTAAAGTACAAAAAAATACCCCAAGTCTTTATTACTATGTTCACACACACACACACACACACACATATTAACTTTTTAGCATATAATTTTCCAACAATCATTTAACATAACTTCTTACCTTATACAATATTTTTAGACTTCTGTCAACAACCTCTGAAAATTTTCCATTCTTTATCACTTGTTCTGCATTTCTTAATTTCTCTATTACTTTTAATTGTTCTTAACTAATAATTCTTTTCAAAGTTTCTTGCAATACTTCACAAAGTCCTCCTTACAGAACTTCTTGCAGTCCTACTTTATTACTATGTACAGTAGCCAAATGTGTTGAGGATCAGCTGGAAAAGAAAACTGAAAAATATGAGGGAATGGGAGACAGATTGATTGATTGATTGATTGATTGATTGATTGATTGTGTAGTCCTTCATCCGAAGAGCTCAGGGCAGTTCACAGCATAAAACTACAAAATTAAAGCACATTATTATTAGTGGAAATTATTTAAAGTGACATAAGGCACAATAGAGATACTGAAACAAATTACGACAAACACCATCAATAACAACCTAAAGAAACCCCTAAACAAGTGAAAAACAAGTCTCAAATACTTTAAAATTGTTCAACTATCCATTGGTCCTCAAGCAGGGGGTGAATTGAGGCATAGAGGTTATCGGTGATTTGGAAAAAGAGTGAGCAATACTTTGGCCTCAGATATGTGAAAGACCAGAGGGTGGTCTTTCCTTCCATACTATCTCTTGGTAGTTTCACCTCTCTCAGAAGTTTGTGAGGGGGTGGCCTAGAAAAGGACATTCTCTGAGGCAGTTCCTAGGTTGTGGGACTCCTCTTCCTGTGACACCTGAGATAGATATATTTTTTCAGGCTCCACACTTTGACTGTAATTTGTTTTAGGCTGTTTTTAATATTGAACTTTTTTAATTGCTGTAACCTGCCCAAAGACCTTATGATAGAGGACAGATTATATATTTTTCTGTTTCTTATATTGTGGTTTTATGTTGTGATGCAACCTGAGATCTACAGGTATAGGGTATAGGGCAGTATACAAATTTAATTAATTAATTATTAACGGCACAACAACAACAAATAAATAATGGGGCAAATGGAGATATTGGACTAGGAAGGGCAGAAACCCTCCCTCCCAAGTATCTCCTTTCCGCTTTGTGATGCTTCATGATTCTTTCAATGTGCAGAACCTCCAAGACACACCTGGGGCGAATCTACACTGGGCGGTTATAACGTTAAAAATGCATTATAAAAACGTGACACCAGAGGGCGCTGCAGAACAACCCACTGATGATGGGAAATTGCATTGAGAACTATACAATATAACTTTTTAAATAGCCTTTAATAGCATTTTTACAAAGCAATGTAGATCCAGCCTTAGAGCGCCTCATCCAGGATTTCCCCCATTCAATGGAGGGGGTATCACGATGCATACAGGTCAAAAAGAGTGGCTCTCTCCCCTGAAATGAATCGAGGGAGCATGATCTCACATGGGAACACCATATGCTCACTGGAGCATACATATGCAGGTATATACATGCGTATTTTGAACTCAGTACAAATCTGTTTACAAGGCATTCTTTTAACAAGCTGGCATCTTTCCTTCACCTAATTCTGTACAGCTTTGCTTGCTTGTTTCTTGACTGCAGACAGTAAATTGAATGCTGTGGTAGCCAAACTTTGACATTCTCCTTCTCCACCCCCACTTCTGATCATCTTCTTTTCTGTTACCAAAGGTTCATTAATATTTATTCCCTGTTCTCAAGGACAGTTGTAGACTGAGTAGCTACTTACACGGCAAGGGGGGGGGGAGTTTGAGAGAGAGAGACAGGGAGAAATCCTCTTGTAAACAAAATGAACAATGAGCATTTTTCAAATAATGAAATTGACTGGAAAATGGCCTAATAGGATTTCTGTGTTTATACGCTCCTGTTGGCCTGTGGGTTTTTTTTGTTTTGCAGAACCCCGGAGTTGACTTTGGGGATGTTTCCGAAAGAATTGCGCTGCGGCAACGTCTTCAGTGCCGAAGTTTTAAGTGGTACTTGGAGAATGTCTATCCTGAGATGAGAATTTACAACAATACCATCACTTACGGGGAGGTAATGTATGGTGCTAAATGTCTGCCACACCTCTGCATTACTGTTCCATTTCCCCAGTTCAGGAGGGCTTTTGTACTGGAATGTGGACCAAAGACAGATGTTGTTTCAGCAATGAAGTTCATCTAAGATCTGGAGGTTTTGCCTTTTCAGGGCTCTCAGCCAGGCCTTGATTTGGGCAGGTGCCTGTATGTGTGTCCCCTTCCTCCTGACTAGTCCCATGCATAATAATAACAATAATAACAATAATTTTTTATTTATACACTGCCCTCCCTGGCCAGAGCCAGGCTCAGGGTGGCTAACACCAGTAAAATTACAATAAAAAAAAACCCAATTTAAAATACAAGTTAAAATATAATTTAAAATGCAGCCTCATTTTAACAGTAGCCCATAGATCTAAACCATAAGGGGAGGGAAACATAAGGGTCAGACTGAGTCCAAACCAAAGGCCAGGCAGAACAGCTCTGTGTTGCAGGCCCTGTGGAAAGATGTCAAGTCCCGCAGGGCCCTGGTTTCTTGTGACAGAGTGTTCCACCAAGTCGCCAATGGCTACTAAAGTTAATGGGTTGCATAACATGGTTTGCTACGTTAGGCCCCATCTGCACTAAACATTTAAATCTGCATTGTATCACTTTAAATAGCCATGGGTTTCCCTGTAAGAATCCTGTTCCTCTCATAATTTTCAGAGCGGTTTAGCAATCAGTCCTTCTTTTTGGAGTATGAAAAATGCTGCCCGCTCTTTCTCTAAGCGAGGCTCCCAGGTATCTTCCTCTAAGCCTCTTCATAGGTAAAAGAGGTCCTTAAGGGGCCCAGTGGTGGAGCAAGCCGATCGGGCGCCTGGGGCGGTGTTTGTGCCCTGTGCCCAGGGCCGGGGCCAGCCATCCACAGGGCAGGGCAAGCCAGGGCAGGACGTTCTGCAGGGCCTTCGAGGAGCCTGCCTGCCTCTTCCCACACAGCTGCCCTACAGCTGAGGGGGAAGCGGAGGGCAGACCGTTTGGGGCAGCGTGGAGCCTGTGGGCCATAGCTGTCAACTTACAGATTTGAAAATAAGGGACCAGCAGCCTCGAAAATAAGGGATCAGCAGCCAAAATAAGGGATTTTCCAAGCACAGGTATGTTCAGCTTCTGAGCCCCTCCGAGCCAAAGGCAGAAAGCCCATGCAGCAGCCAAACGAAGCCTCAAGCAGTGGTTCCCACAGCACAGCAACCCGGCAAAGGGGATGCAGCAAGGGAAACCACCGTCACCTCTCCGCTGGGAAGAGCTGAGCAAAGGTGAGTCCCCAGGCAACGCAGCCGATTTGATCAGCACAAGGCATGCAAGTTCCACCCCCCAGTCGTTCTTAGACTCCTTATTGGGTGAGCAACGCAGCCAAGCAACACAGTTGGAGCCTCCCTCCTCCCTGGCCAGCAGGGAGGGAGGGAGAGGAGCTGCTTCCTTTGAAACCCGGGAAATTTAAGGGACATCATCAATAAGGGACAGCAGCGGGACACAGCGCTGGGATAAGGGACTTTCCCGCCAAATAAGGGACGGCTGACAGCTATGCTGTGGGCACCCAAGCCACCGCGTCACTCCAAGGAGAAACATGTGGCTCAGGCACGCTGCTGCGGTGAGTGTCACCCACTATTGTGTCACCCTCCTCAGTGGTGACACCCGGGGCAGCCTGCCCCCACCTTCCCACCTTCCTCCACCCCTGAAGGGGCCTACCTGAGAACCTTGCAGTATCTGACAAGAAAGAACCAGGGATCACCCCTCCCAGGAGGGGAGGAAAGAGTGTTTAAAAAGCTGAGCAGGGATGCAAGTAGGGCAATATTTCAAATCCCATATTGCAGGTGGAACAGGGTGGCAAGGCAGAGACTGAAATTGTTTCCTTAAGGCAGGCTCATGAGTTTGTGTCAGATTTGGATCAGAGATGTGCAACCTCTAAATAGCTCAGTCGGTAGAGCATGAGACTCTTCATCTCAGGTTTGTGGGTTCAAGTGCCATATTGGGTGAAAGATTCCTGCGTCACAGGGGGTTAGATTAGATGACCCTTGTGGCCCCCTTCCAACTCTATGAAATCTATGTATTGGTTTGGACTATATCACAGGTAGTGTGATTTCAGAAGAAATTACGAATGAATTTCCCATTGCTGGGCCACAGCTTTGTGGCTTATTTGACAATCTCCAGACTGAGACTCCAGAGGCTGAAGGAACTAAATATGTTGAGGTGGACATAAAACATATTGAAAGGGTTGTAAAAATATATTTCCTACCAACTGAAGTCACTTTTTTTTTTAAGGATGAGTTGTAAAATGCCTGTCGTCGCCTTATACCTGGGTAGCACGCTTGTCGTAAACTGACTCTGCTACCGCTTAACAGTTGGCATTCTTTAATTGGCAGCAGCTTGGGAAGGCAGGTTGGGTGGCCTTGTGGCATGCTGTGCTGTCAGACAATATTTATATTGTGGCTCAGAGCAGAAGGGGATGGAAAGCTTCAAGGATGCTCACAGCCATGCCTTTCCCCAGAAAAAGTTTTTTAAAGGTGAGGAAACTGGTTAGGAGACCCTGGTTCCCCCCACAGAACTCCGATTTCAACAGTTTCCTGGAAGAGGCACTAATAATAATAATAATAATAATAATAATAATAATAATAATAATAATAATTTATTTATTTATACCCTGCCCATCTGGTTGGGTTTCCCCAGCCACTCTGGGAGGCTTCCAACAGAATATTAAAATACAATAGTGTAATAAACATTAAAAGCTTCCCTAAACAGGGCTGCCTTCAGATGTCTTCTATAAGTCTGGTAGTTGTTCTTCCCTTTGACATCTGGTGGGAGGGCGTTCCACAGGGCGGGTGCCACTTATTGCTTGATGCCAGGGTACTTCTCCATAGCTGAACATAGACCCCATCTGCACTGTACATTTGAAGAACTATTGTACCACTTTAAATAGCCGTGGCTTCTTCAAAAAGCCTTCTGGGAAGCGTAGCTCATTAAGGTTGTTGAGAGACACTCTAGCCAACTCCCAGAGCAACAATTCCCAAAGTTCTCTGAGAAGAGGGATTGATTGTAAAACCACTCTGGGAACTGTAGCCCTGGGAGGGGGAACAGGGGTCTCTCAGCGCTGTGGTGACTAGTAGACAGTCAAATATGAATGTGTCTAGTCCCCCTTTAAAGCCATCCAAGTTGGTGGCCACCCCTACCTTTTGTGGGAGCAAGTTCTGAGTTTGTGCCCATTGCTACATCGAAGGCAAGTGTCCTTTAGGCTCTGCTTGTGGGGTTCCTAGAAGCATGTGGTTGTCTATGATGGCAAGCAAGATACTGGACCAGATGAATCCTGGGTCTGACCCAACAAGTCTCTTCTGATGTTCCTCTGTAGCGGGATCTGCGTGCTTATCTTTAGGTGGCAATCAGGAAGTGTGATGGCTTTCATCCAATAGATGGGATCCAGATTTCTCATCAGGGTTAGTCAGAGTGGGATTGGGACTGGGCTGTTTATGATGCGTATTCCGAATTCATCATCTTTCATGTCATACTCCGCAAATAAATGTCTAGTCCAAGTCATCAGAATATATGTGTGTGTTCTGCCTGTAAGGACAATTCGTGTCTGCTTTCGCAGAAGAACAAGTTGGCTATGCAGCCCCTAACTGATACGCAAAAGAAGGATTAATGGGGTGTCAGGAGAAGTGAATGAGTGTGTTTTTCTTCCTTCAGAGAAACTCCCTGGTGGTTAGCATCCTATTTACTTTGCTTAAAAATAAGTTTAAGCTGCTCCAGAACAGGGAAGGGCTGTGGCTCAGTGGTAGAACATCTGTTTTGCACTCAGAAGGTTCTAGGTTCAACCCCTGACATCCCCAGCCAGGGATAGGAATGTCCCTTGTCTGAAACTCTGCTTCTCAAGGTATTGCAAGCTTTTTGTGGAGATTTGTGAGAACATATAAGACAGCTGGGAGATGTAGGTGCTTGAACCAGGACCTGCCCCCTGCCCTCCACTAAGGCTTTGGGTTAGAGAATTCCCCTACACCAAGGCCAACCTACATTATACCCTCCAGATAAGTGTTGGTTGGTAACCACTGAGACTGGTAAGGTAGAAGGCTGGGAGCTCAACAGTAGATGGAGCCAGAACCCATGAGATGTGGAGCTAACTAATGGTAGTTCTAGCCCCATGCTCCTCCTTGTTCTGTTCTAGAATAGAAGGACAGCATTGAGACCAAAGAAGAAGAAGCTGACAGGCATTGCCAGCCCCTGGATTGGTTATAAGTGAGAAGGCAGGCGGGAGAGCTGGCTGAAGGCACATGGTGGTTGGTGGACCAGTACGCCATTTGCTCAAATGAAGCAGCATTCACTGCTCCAGATTTTGTTGCACTTCAACTCCCATCATCCTATTCTGGCCGGGGTTGGTGAGCGTTGGAATCCACCATCACCTGGAAGTTCCCCATCCCAGAGCTAGGATCATATAAGATATCCATCAGAACATCACAATATTGGTTAAATTTCTCTTTTCCCCTCCCTTCTCCCCTGATGTTGATTTCAGGTTCGCAACAGCAAAGCCAGTGGCTTCTGTTTGGACCAGGGTGCAGAAGACGATGACAAAGCCATTCTCTACCCATGTCACGGCATGTCCTCCCAGGTAGTATGTTATTACATTTCTTCCGTGGCAAATTTGATTTTGTTTGCATTTTAAGAAGAAACTACCTGATTCATAGTTCTTGAACCGATACCTGAACCAAAGCACAGCTTTCCTTTGCAATTTGCATGCCTCCAAACTTTGCATGGAGGCAGGGCTCAGCTATTGTGGCTAGTAGCTGTTGATAGCTTTATCCTCCATGGGTTTGTCCAACCCTCTTTTAACGCCATCCAAGTTGCCTCCTGTGGGAGTGAGTTCCACAGTTTAATTATTTTTCTTTTTTCTGCCCTGAATCCTCCAACATTCAGCTTCATTGAATGCCCACGAGTTCTCATGTTATGAGGGGGGATCACCCTTAGTGTTATGTTAAAGAAGTGGCCCGCCAAACCCCAATCTCTGCTGAGTGGTAGCAAGACATAAAAATGCATGTTATTAGGGGTGATGGCATACAAATATGTGTATATCACCATCATCAAACCTTTTATTGGCATCGCATACAAACATCCAAAACAAATCAATGCAGAATTACCACTTCCCCGGTGGCCCAAAACATTTGCTAAAAGAAAGGAGGCAGAGCAGTCAATCATCACATCTCTTGGTCTCCAGGGAGATCAGACGTCTGCAGTGTATTTTGACGACAAAAAACCAAATAGAGATATTTAGCCACTAACTTGGTGAGCTCCTGATCATTCCCCAGTAATAGAAAATGTATGACCTCCAACTCTGATTTCCATTTGGGGATACAGAGTTGATCTAGAAATTGCTGATGGAGATCAGCATATAGTTTTTAATTAAGAACCGTATGTGTAAGGGTTTCCACCAGGTGGTCTTCACATGGGCAAGTTCTTTCTCCTTCCACCCTGCCTGAGAACCTTCCCCAAAGGAGGTTTGATTGATTTGAATTAAACCTGGCCAGCGAAAATGCCCTTCTTTCTTGAGGGTTAAGCAGAAATTCAAGGTAGTTGTGGTTAGTTTCATGTGCCCAAGAAAGTTGAAAATAAAGAGGGGAACATGTGTACATGTCACGGACTGAACTGAGGGGGACGAGACTGAGGAGGAACCTCCTCCTGAGCTTCCCAGAGAAGAAGAAGGCAGTATTGAATTATAGCAGTGGTTTGAGGAAGATCACAGCTCAGAGACGGGTGAACAGAAGAGCTGGGAGGTGTTGGGAGAAGAGAAGGGAGAGACAGAGACAGAGCAGCCAGCTGACACATTATCACCGGAGAGCATTTCTGACCCTCCATCTCCCAGAACCCGGCGTGCATTGAAAGTGAAATTGCTTGGTAAGAACTCTTATTGTTTCTCTGATTCTGGGCTGCCCCGTGGGAGGGAGCTGATTCCCCGAAGCCTGACAGTACACTAGGATAAGTTCTCACTAAAACGCTGGTGAGTTTTCATGAGGGCTTTTTAAAAAGACATTACAAACTTGTGTGGAAATGCGGAGAAGTAAATGTAAGACTTGAAAAATATTAAACTGAGAGCGAACATAACTGACATATTTGCCCATCCATAAGTACAACTAGATTACAAATGATGAGAGACATTTCAGGGAAGGGGTGAGGCGGTGGAAGAACATCTGTTTTGCATGCAGAAAGTCCCAGATTCATTCCCTGGTGTCTCCAGGTAGGGCTGAGAAAGACTGCTTGTCTGAAACTGTAGAATCATTGAATTATAGTTAGAAGGGACCCCAAGGCTTGTCTAGTCCAACCCCATGCAATGCAGGAATCTCAGCTAAAACACCTCTGGCAGATCACCATCCAATCTCTGCTTAAAAACCTCCAAGGACAGAGAACCCACAACATCCCAAGGGAGACCATTCCACTGTCAAACAACTCTTAGTGTCAGAAAGTTTTCTGTATGTTTAGTCTGAATTTCCCTTCTTGCAACTTGAAGCCATTGGTTCGAGTCCTACCCTCTAGAGCAGGAGAAAACAAACTTGTTCCCTCTTCCATGTGACAACCTTTAAGATATTTGAAGATAGCCTTCATGTCTCCTCTCAGTCTCCTCTTTTCCAGGCTAAACATACCCAGCTCCTTCAAGCGCTCCTCATAAGGCTTAGTTTCCAGATCCTTGATCATCTTGGTTGCCCTCCTTTGCACAAGTTGCACAGATGGAGAATCAATGCCAGTTGGAGTAGGCAATGCAGTGGTACCTCGGGTTACATACGCTTCAGGTTACATACGCTTCAGGTTACAGACTCCTCTAACCCAGAAATAGTACCTCGGGTTAAGAACTTTGCTTCAGGATGAGAACATAAATCATGTGGCGGCAGCATGGTGGCAGCAGGAGGCCCCATTAGCTAAAGTGATGCTTCAGGTTAAGAACAGTTTCAGGTTAAGAATGGACCTCCAGAACCAATTAAGTACTTAACCCGAGGTACCACTGTATTGAGCTAAATGGACCCAATGTTCTGATTCAGTATGAGCCCACTTCCTACATCCCTTCCTGTGTTTCTAGGCACCAGGGGTCCGGGGGCAGGAAGGAGAGTTGTGGTCAGTATTGCTTCCAAGTTTTGGAGGACCCTTTGTAAAGAGACCCTCTGTGACCCCACCCTCAGTGAATCTTCCCCCTCATTGCAGCAAATCTAAAGAGCTCTTGTCAGTGGACCCCACACTGAGGAGTGGGTCCTCAGCAGATACACAGGCATGCCAACCTTTGATGCCAGCCCTGGGCATCGGGCATTCTTTCTTCAAGCCTATTGAGATGCTATGCATGAGCTTGAGCCTCGTAGTTCTGCAGAGATTTGAACCCAGGTGTCCAGAGAATATATCCTACACCTTAATAATTCCATATACTATTGTTGTACTGTGTATTTTGGGTCGATGGACCACAATAAAACTGTGTATGCCTGTGTTATTAATTCCACCACACTGGCTTTCAATTCGTCTCTTGCAAAAAAAACAGAAGCAAGCAAAAAAACAACACCCAACAACCATTTGATATTTTAAATGGATTTTTATGTTACAGGAACTGTATGACACATTTTCTGTGCAAAGAAAATGCTAATGGGATGCATAGTTGTGCTGTTTCCATGTGCAGTCAAAACATTTCAGCTATTCCTCTGCCAACAACTTACACGCATACACTTTGTACTTCCAGCTCACAATTAACATGCCTTCGTGGATTTTATACACATTTTCTTTTTAAGGCATGTGGGGCTCCGGCTGAGGGGTAGACTGAGTTTGGTAATGCAGCACTCCATCTCCCTGAATGGACCAGCCTCCACTGCCTAGAAGGGTGGTGGAATCTATGTCTTATAGCAGAGGTTGGACAGCCACCTCTTGAGGGTGCTAACTCATTTTCCTGCATTGAGCAGGAAGTTGCGCTGGGTCACTCTATGGTACTATGTATTCACCTCCTCCCGTATCCCACCAACCCCAAAGCTGTCAATCCATCTGTCTTCTGCAGGGGCGAACGAAGGCATCATGACACCCAGGGCGGGACGTCACTACATAGGGCGCATGTGTGTTGTTGCTACATACGATGCATGTGCCATACGTAGCGATGTTGCACATGTGCTGTACATAGCGGTTTGCTGCCGGCGGCGCTCCAGCGCTGTACGGATGGTGCCGGGATCCTCTGTTTGCGACTGCAGCTGTGAACAGAGGATCCTCCGTTCTCAGTTGTAGTGGCGACAGAGGGATCCCACCGCTATCTGTACGGCGCTCGAGCGGCGCCGGCGGCAAACCGCTCATGTGTGGCATCGTTACATACAGCACATGCATGCGACACCGCACATGCACTATACATAGCGGTTTGCCACTGGCGCCTGGATGCTCTGCTCACGGCTACAGCCGCGAACGGAGGATCCTCCACATGCGGCTGCGGCTGCGCAATGGCTGCTCGCGCAACCACAAGCCCCCACGGGGTGCCTTCTTGTCACCCCCCCAGACATGGTGCCCGGGGGCGACCACCACCCCTGCCCCCCCCCCGCTCTTCTGCTCTTCTGCACCCTGTGCAATTCAGGTCTTTAGTCATGGCCACATCCAATCCTTTAAACTTTGACTCAGTTTTAAATACACAGTTTTAATCTTCTCAGGACCCATAGGGATTTCAGCCCATATATTCATATTTCTAGGCTTGAATTTTGAATCATTTCTTTAATTATTATTATTTTTTCATTCTAAACCATTCCTCTGCATTTTGCCCTAACCATTCAAAGACGATGATGATTATTTTATTCCGCGTGCCTTGAGGTTTTAAAAGAAAATCTCTTCTGATCATGCTTCTATTGCTATTCCTTACTTTTTAATGAAAATCAGATATCATTTAAATCCCAGATGGTCCCCCTCCCCACATAACCCTCCTCCCACAATGCCATTTTAGCTCTTTCTGATGTGCCTTCCAAATTGGAACGGCATTAATGAATTGTCACTCATGCATTCATGCATAAATAATTCTGACCTTATCACCCACCAAACAATTACCTGAAGTTTAGCCGTACATGTTATTGGTTTGGACTGTGGTGTCAGCTTGAACATTAATATTACAGGCAAAATTATGTGTGTGTGTTCCTTTCTTAATTGTTGCAGCTGAACCAACTGGGTGCTCTGTTGTCACTGTCACAACATCCATCTTGGATGGGCTTGTGGCACTTTCCGCAGCAAATTTGGCCTTTGGTAAATCGGGGGTGCGGAGGGGGAGGAAGAGAGAAACAGAAAAGAGCCACTTAATTAGATTCAAGTAAGGTTTTCGTGCAGAGCCCTATTTAGCAAGATGCTGACATAAGTTCACCTGGCTTTTAATTATGTTGGCCATTTTCCTGTTAGCCAAACAAGTCCACATCCTCCAAGAACCTGCCTTGTACAAAAGGAACACGGTGAGGGGAAATGGTTCTGCTGCCCTATATTTTTCTGACAATCTCTTGGCCTAATGCTATTGTTGTGCACCACCCCAATCTCCAAGTGGAATCCCCAAAGTTCTAGGCACTTCTAGGTTCATGTTTCCTTTGGAGAATGAGGCACAGAGGAGACTGTGGTGTCTTTGTGATGTGTGGTTTATTC